TCCTTCTTTTACTGATATCTACCTCATACAACAACTGCATTCACAAACACACCCAGGAGAACCTTATTTTACGCGCTAAGCAGGACAATCACCAGCTCACAGACCACAAAAGAAAATAGCTCTTTGTGGCCACACAGGCAGTGCCAACAACCATGTAATTATTTTCCCTACCACCTGACTTACTGGGAAAGAAACACAATTGTGTGACTTTCAAAAACCAACTAGCAGGTAAACCTCTAACACAACAGCAGAAAATGTTAGCAATATGACAAAATGGCATTCACCAAACACCTCACAATCCCAACCACTACCAGCTCTTCAGCAGACTAGATGTCTCAGCTCAAAACCACAGAAATAAGCTTACGTTTCAGGAGATGTATCATGTAGGTTTGCAGAGCACCCTGCACATGCTACCACAACATAAGGAAAAAGAATTAAAAAGACAAAGACCAAAGCTGCTCCAGGTCAAGTCCATTCTTGAACAGCTCCAGCTCTTCCCCCAAGAGCTAGTGCTCAGGCGGGTCATGAGAAAACCTCGACTCAGTCTTGCTGGAAGACTCTGCATCTGTCCCAGGGGAAGGAGGAAAAACAAGCTTTCCACTTCTCAGGATTATGCCAAAAACAACACGGTGCTATCAAGAGATGAGGGCAGCAAAAGCCGTGAAGTGACACCATCACAGCTCCTTCCAGTGTGGACATCAGTCTCTGCCACAGCTAACAACAAATACACCAGCAGAATGAGAAAGTGAAAAGGTTAGACATAAACACTTCCTATTCTGTGCCAATAATAAAAGGAAAAATACAAATACCCCAGAGAAAAAAAAAAAATGTGACAACACAGGAAACTGCCATCTTAACAGGCTGACAGCAGTACTGGTTACACACGCAGCACAGCTCAAAAAAAAAACCAAAAATCCCCAAACTGAACACCACCTTCCCTTTCTTCTTGTCTGAGCTGGACAAGGTTTTTCAGTTGCACTCCCTTCTGCTTTGCAGAAGCAGACCACTTCTGTGATCACTTCAGCAAAATACCTTTTGCAACCTTAGCGTGCTGTATGCTTTGCAAAGGAAGCCCCCTGGTTGTCTTCTGAGAGTCATCTCACTAATTGCCTACCCATTAGTTTCAAGTCAGAAACTTCTTGGACAAACCTTCCTCCTTCACAGGTTTGCCATTCAGACAAACTGAACTAATAGGGCATGGTAAAAAGCTTCACTGTTTTATACCTTTTATTATATACAGCTATACCACTGCATTCATATTCCACACAACATTAAGTACTTCCCTGAGCACCATTTAAAATCAAATCGTTGAGGGGAAAGAAATGTGCAGTCAGAAAACTGCTGTTGCATAGAGACCAAAGTCCAACGTCGCAGGTGTCTTCCTTCAGATGCAAGTTACTTGAGGCTATTAGCTATGTTTTCCAGGAGTTTCTAGATGTCAGCGTACACATTTCAGCACTGATTTTATACCCCAAAGCAAGAGTAGACAGCTCTTGCCAAGCAGAATAAATCACACTTTTTGAAATATTAAAATTCACAGCATTCAGCTGCCTCTTAATACCGTGCTTCATTCTACTTCCTGTAGCAGCAACCACAGAAACTGGAAGCTGCCTTGTTACCTCCAAGACCATCTATTATTTAAAGAAAACACCTTTCCAGAGAGACTCAAGCATCAATTATTTAGTCTTTGACAGGAAACAAAACCCTTTAAAAGGGAAGAAAGATTTCTGGAAAGGACTGTTGGGCCACGTGAACCAAATTTGGCTTTGTACGCTAGCAACCTGTCTGAAACAGAATGAAAAAGATAAAATAAAACAACCCATAAAAAAGCCAAAAGCTCATATGCACACAAGCTCAGCAAGTGCCTGAGCCTATGAGTGCTAAAGGAAGAGCCACAGCTACAGGAGGCTTCTGCACAGATCTTCACATGGAAGACCTTTATCAATTTGTTATAAATGCCTGCTCCCTAGACTAGGAGTGTAAAACAGAGAGAAGCTCCTTTGTAACACCAGGACAACATTCAGCAACATTTACTGCAAAGACCACGAGGAAGCAAAGCCCCATGTTTATTATACCCTTGCTTTTCACTTTCAGGTTCAGATTAATGATGAAGACAGCCCTAAGATTTACAGCTTTTGCACGACTTCTAAAGACAAAGACACAAAAACAGCTCTCAGAAAAAAACACATGTAAACATGCACTCCGGATAAGAATGGAAATTCATTCACTTACACATATCATGTATGAGCTTTACTACAAGGAAAGGGATAAAACAATGCTGCTTTGCTCCCAAAAAAGAAGAGAGACAGGAAACAACTGAAGCAAAACAAGTACTGGTCCCCTCTTCCAAACAGGGGCTGAGGCACACATTGAACCAGAAAGGAAAATAAACTTACTTTCTAAATCCTGCCGAGAGCCCTGGGCTTAGGTACAGTTCCTCTTGTGGTCAGCATTTTTTATTTTAATCTGCTAAAGTTTTCTGCATAAGCAATAACAGAATTCAAGCGTGAATAATCAAGCAGAACGATACTTCTCTTTCAATGGGCTTCAGTTCCAAGATTTATGTCATATTGGTAAAGAAGGTCAGCAGAAGCCTGGCTATTCAAGTCAGTGGTCAACTGCAAAAACTGCAATCCCTTATCATTTCAATAGTTAAGGAGAACCATTTTCTGCAGGTTAAATCCTTTACTGTAATCCTTACACAGCATCTGGCCTTATTGAAACTCCTACAGTTGGCCTCAGCCCATGGCTCCAGCCTGTCCAGGTCTCTCTGCAGAGCCTCCTTACCCTCGAGCAGATCAACACTCCTGCCCAACTTGGTGTCATCTGCAAACTGACTGAGGGTGCACTCGATCCCCTCGTCCAGATCATCAATAAAGATGTGAAACAGGAGTGGCCCCAAAACTGAGCCCTGGGGGACATCACTTGTGACCGGCCGCCAGCTGGATTTAACTTGATAGAAGACTGAGAATTGTAGGAGTTTGTCAGCAGAAAAATCCCCCCTGCCCCTTTTTTTTTTTTTTTCCAAACATCAATTTACAGGTAATGGACACACACCACAGCTTCATAAACTAAACTACACTCTTAAGAAAATCAGAGGTCAGCCTCAAGACAGTATAAGGGATCAAAAAGCATATTCCTCAGTTATTCATTAGAAATTAGGCTACAATTTAAACTTGATCCAGATTATCTACACATTTGCATCTGGACATGACCAAATTCATAACACACCATGTCAACAGTTTTCTTGCTACATTTAAGAGCAAAAAGTTACATCTTCAATACCAAAGAAAGCACCCCTATTCGATAGCATTTTAGAGCTCAGGCCAAGGGCTTTTTATGGTTCTTTCATTAAGTATTACAAGGCCTAAAGCTAGCAGAAAGTAGTCTAGAACATACCCCATTTCAGTCCTGTCAGGTATGTTACCTATTATGAAGGCTCTTCCAGAGACACTGCTCCTAACAAAAGATAATTTTATTTTCTGTCACACCTCCCCCCTCTCCACCCACACAAGGGGGCAGGGAGGAGAGGAAACAGGCTTTACACAGGAAAATAGCACAAGATTAATTATTCTACAGTGCACTAAATGACAGGCAAAACGTATGCCCAGAAACAAGAATAAGACTCAATTAAGACTCGAGGTTTCTCCTAATATGGTCTTCTTATCTGGGGACTAGAGATAACACTTTGACACAATGAAAGCTAAGTGGATCAACTTACACTAAACAAATATCACACAGCACACACTGGACAGAGAAGAGCAACTTTTAGAGATTTTGATTTAGTTCTCAATCTCACCTTCAGCAAGTCCATCTATGAGCAAGATCAAGAAAAATAAAGCAAAACACCAACTGCATAACTAACTTGCACATTGTTTTCCAACACATTGCATTTCCAAACTTCTGAGAAGCTATTTCTAAAAACTTCTGTTTCAGTGGGACTGTGATTTTGAACATGAAAATCTAAGGACAGGCAACATCACTGTTCTTCCCATTCCACCAAGAACAGAGCTAAAAGAACATATACATCACACCCTGTAAGTACCTTCTTCCAATATCATTTACTAGAAGATAAAGAACACCACCAACACAGATGTTGTTGTTCTGTTGAAAAAAAAAAAAAAAACTAAACAAACAAACAAAAAAAAAGCCAAACAACAAACAACACCAAAACACAAAAGCTACAGTTTCCTCCACAGCTCATTCCTATTCTACACCAATTACTAAATTTAAATTCCCACCTGACCTCTTCTCTCCCCCCACAATTCCTCTGTCAAGCAGATAGTGGTAGCATCTCAGCCATCCACACCCAAGTATTTAGTTTCACACATTTATTACAAGCATGAAGTGGCTTAGGAAGTCACAATAGGGTATGAGTACTGATGACGACAGACTCACTGATGGAGATAGACAGAAAGGAGACCATGACCCCGCACTGAGCATTTACGAACAAGATGCCCCGTACTTTCATTCTCTAGTAGCTGGTTTCCTTCCATTTTATCCAGAGCTCTAGGTCACAAGCTTTAGGTCCCTATTAAAAAAAAAAAAAAAAAAAAGGCAGCGCTGGAAAAATCCTATCCTGCCAATTATCTCAAAATACCTTTCCCTCCACCACCACCTTTGAAGACCTACTGCAGAAGGAAAAAACAAGTAACTTATCTTATTTTTACAGCATTTTTTTTATTAAGGCTCAAAATGAAACCACTAAGTCTACGTTGAGTATGTGAGGTAAAGTCAGATGTGTGTTTAACGGTGTTATGCAGATACTCTGAGAGTGTAAAATCGTGGTTTGTTCTACCTCAAAAAAAAAAAAAGCACCAGAATTTAAGTTAAGCAAGTATAGCAGCATGCATCCTCCCCAATACCAAGCCTTCTCCAGCTTAGCTTAAACTCTCTCCCTAGAAATGCACAAGAGCCATTCCCTTCCTTAAAAAAAACACGTAGGTTTACGAAAAGAAAAAACCACTTCCTCCACATTAACCGTGTCTAACGCATTTTACTTGAACTCTCCTCATAGGGTCTGTATGCGGCAGCTTCTCGGCAGCGCTCTGTAAGCTGTCACAGACCAGAAATAAAACATACACCTGAAACTACAAACAGGTAGAAGGCAAATGACCGAACTGGATCTAGTGATGTGTTAATGATCCAAACGCCCATCCTAGTACCTCACAGGAGCTGAAACAGGCTTTCTTTAACCAGGAAAGCTGAAAGAGTGTTCGGAGAGGTCCCTCGCTAACACATCTTACAAGTAATTAAAGTTATTTTTTTAGAAGAAAAAAAAAAAGTTACAGGCCTCAATCCTCACATACACGGAGCAGTTGCTTCTGCTAACAGCAATGCCTGGGTTGCGGGTAGGAGCTGGCAGCAGCCGGAGCAACGGCAGAGTAAAGAGCAGGCAAACGCCGCCCCACGCCTGCAGCACCCCGACAAGCCTTTTTTAAAAAAAAAAAATAAAAAAAAAAAATAAAAAAAAAAAAGTCTCCCTTGTAGCACCTCACTCAACGAAACAACTTCGCATGAACTCCCAGAGGAAGCCTCACCCGGCCTCTCCGGCTTCCTTTAATGGACCAGCACAATGGCAGAGGCTCGTCATAGCCCCTCGTTTCGGGAAACTTAGAACGCCGGAGGGCTGCTGCCCTCCCCGAATGAAGGCAGCCGGACAGCGCTGGCTCCGCGCCCGGTTCAATGGCTGCCAGGTTCCAGGGCATGTTGCAGAATAGAGCCGTGCTCCGGGACTGGGAGCGGTGTCAAAGTGCCAGTGCTTAAACACAGAGGGGAGGGG